ATTTTTGCTCATAAAGGTAAGAGTAATACATCATTCTAAACTGTAAAGGGTCTAGTTTTATTTGTGTGCACTCACAATATCAACAAAACGTTGTGCTTATAAAGAATAAAGAAAACAACTGCTTTCTGCCGTCTCTGGCTTGAACAGGAGCGCTTCACAATGATGACTCAGCGAATAGACATGATAAAAATATATAGAAAGCTTTAAATTACTACTTTAAAACGAAATCCTTCAAATCGAAAATAGAAACTCTTTCATTATGTAATCCGTGCTTTTTTCATCACCATAATTGATGGATGTCTAAAATATAAAAATAAGGAAAAGCCTAAAACAGGCCCGATTACAATTTGCGGTTTATTTTATAATTCTGTACAAAATAAAACACAAATTATAATGGCATATATGTAAAACTTTGTCCTATAATTGTATAGCTGCTTCTATTTTCAGATTTTTATGTTGCTCTGTTCTGAATACCTTAACATTTAAAGGAGTTGCTGCAATGCAATTTTGTCTGATATGTGAATTATTTATTAACCTATTTTTTTATCCATGCAGCAAATGCTTTAAAAACAGCTTTAAAAAATACTTTATTGCATTCCAGACGCTTTTAAAGTACTTTTCACTATAAATTTTACGGGTAGCTTGGATGTAAAACATTGTCATGAATTTGTTGTATTCCCATTTGTAAAACAGCTTTAAAAATTACTTTATTGCATTCCAGACGCTTTTAAAGTACTTTTCACTATAAATTTTAGGGGTAGCTTGAATGTAAAACATTTGTAAAATAGCCAACAAATGAATTGTTGCAGGCTAACCCAATCTCATGAAAACTGTATAGCACGATCTTCTGCTTCTTTTTGGCGTAATAATTCTATGCAGAAATTGACTTTGGCATGCAAAAGACTGATAAATTCATAATTAATGGCATGGCTGGTTCAGTCGACAGAAATACGGGACACACAGGCCTATAATAACTGCTGAAATGTTTGCGGGGCAAATCTCAGGTCGGTCTGAGCGCTCATGATACGCACATTGCGTACAGCCGTACACCTGCTGATGCAGTAGATCTTACAATTCTTATGAGCGTGTGCGTGACCGTGATTCGTGCGCAAGCATGTCAGTGAGCACGGCATCACAATAGACACACACACACACACACACACACACACACACAAATTGCAGAGGGCCTCGCATGTCAACTTCGCACAGGGCCTCACACCCCCCTTGCGACTGCCCTGTATGTATATATATATATATACACACACCCCACTGAATTTTTTTAATCTCTTTTGAGCTTCTGAAGTATGCATCTATTGGACACATTACTAACCCATCCTCATAGAGAAGATTTGTGAATGGCAGTGAAGCGACACAACTGACACTAGTAGGTCACATGACAATGACAACATGATGAATATGGTACATCCAGATTACATTTATACTACACACATTAAAACAGTGTAGTTTTTAATGGTTGCAAAGTAATTACTTTAATTTGTGTACCTACTCAAAGTATGCAGTTTTGGACTCAGACATCCACTTGTTTCTTTCCTAAATGGTTAAGTGTTTTGGAATTAATCAGTTGAAAGAATGATTCAGTGACTTACTCATAAAGCCATTATTTGTTTTGTTTGTGGACAAACACACAGATGCATACATTGTGTCCTGTGCAAATTTTTTTTTTTTAATCAAAAAATAATGACTATCATACATTTTTACCATGATTTAGACACCAACTAGAATGTAATTAAGTGTTTAAAAATGTTCACATACCAAAAAGCTTGTCAGGCATATTTAGAACCAGAACCATTATATGTAGGGATGTAACGATTAACTGCGAGCCGGTTGAAAATCGATTCAAATATGTGACGATTCAAATCGGTTGAGATGCTAAACAAATCGCGATTCATTTAGGTTTAGGAGTTTATATGTAACACAGACATATACAAAGCCTTAGTTTGTTTATATGAAGAGATTTATTTTATTTGTGTTACTTATTTATTTGATTTGGGGCTTGTTT